CTAATTTATGACACTTTTCATTCTCATTATATGGGCAAATAATTTTTGATCTGCAGTGTTCACAGTTTAAGTTTTTTAAGGTTTTGACGATCCAGCCAGAGACGTAACCTATTATGCTTTTGTGAATTTCTTTTTCTAACTGAAAATCAAGAAGTCCTGAAATATATTTATCCACATTAAATACTTCGGTTGAAATTTCATGACTTTTGCAACTGATATTTTTTATGTTGTCTACTAAGTTTCTAATATTGAATAAATCTGGAACATTAGTTTCCTCGCAGTTTGTCCCTATTGCTTTTGATCCAAAAAATTCTCGTATCATGAGTGATTTAAAACTATCTCTAAACTGTAATGCTGTGGGATTAATAGCCTGATTTCGTTGATTTCTAATTCTGCCAAAATAATTTTCTATAATGTCTTGATTTAGAGATCTAGTTAAAAAAAATTTTGATTTTCCTTCATAAATCAGTATTTCATACAATTCTAAAAATCCTTCCAAAGTGTATATCCAATTTTTCAAACTTGGCGGCACAATTTTCTTTCCATTTTTGTCAATAAAATACATATTTTTCAAATTTTGAATCGCTTCTTTCCAAAATGTTGTATGCCCAGAATTTTTGAACACACCACCGCGAAGAGGCTTGCCAGCATGTGAACGAAGTGTGCCACCATTCACACTATCGAAAAGTTTATCAAAAAAATTGACGATTTTCGCCGTTCCTAGAGCTTGTTCTTGAAGCTGACCTAATACACAACATATTTAGTCGGATTAAAATTAAATATAGTCAAAAACATACCAGTTTTAACTAATAAAGAAATAGTTGAGGCCATAGAATGGCTAAGAAGCTGAGTAGCGTAGCAGACTTTCATTTTTGGTATTTTATTGGTAATAACATGTAAATCAGTAATCTTTTGCAGAGCTCGTAATTCACCACAAGGCTGATCATTGAAATAAGCGTCTAAAATATGTTTCCATTCCGCTTTCAAAATTTCATTATTCGTTTCCCATACCAAATCTTTAGTTAATAAATTATTTCTAACACCCTTGATAAGATGTGGTGGATCATACAGAGGAATAATTTCGTCATTACCAATTATAATTCTTCTTTTTATTGTTTCGTTACGGCTTTTATAAATTTGTTGCGATTGTTTTAATAAGAAATTTATAGCAGCTTGATTTGGTTTTCCTTGATCACAGATTATTGCTTTGACTTTTAACCCACAATTTTGAACTTCAGTGACTATCAGTTTTATTACATCGACTAAGACATTGGATTTTGTGGCTGATGACGAGAATCTAAATAACATGGGCTGTTGCCATTTTTTAAAAATCCCACGAAGATAAAACACTAGAACGTGATCTGCAATTTTCAGGTCTGACGTATTTTCATCCAAGTCTTGAAAACCATAAAACTGATCATTGCTTTTATCATAATCTAGATGCGGCATTATCGACATTTCATCGAAAACGACAGAACACATTTTGTCTCGGTTTCTCAATTTTGAAACTGCTTGTTTTAAATTATCAAATATTAGTTTATTGTAGCCTGCATTTAAGGGTACTTTGTTCAACATTGACATAATTGTATGTCGCGTAGGCAGCGCAAATAGCTGTCTTAATTTCGTGTAAGCTCTCCCAGACTGTTTATATAACGCTAGTGCTAACACTTTTTCATCAGTGGTATACCTGCGGCCTTTAGTTTTAATATTTCGTTTTCTTAATTGAGATAAACAGAAATTGACTGCGGTGTCATCCAGAACCTTGCTGTTTAGTTTCATATCAAATTGTAAAGCTAATTTCAAACGTTGACGATATTCTGCTGCCCGAGATTTACTTTTTCGTGCTGCCTTCTTGTATTTTAAACAAGAGTGATGAATCATTTCAGCTACAGGAGATAGATTCCTTTTCCTTGTCGATTTAGTATCTTTTAAAGTCTCACATGTTGTTTTTCTATTCATAGTACTGCTTGAAGTGGTGGTTATAGGAGCATCAGGAACATTATTTACGGCAGGCAAAGGCAACGCCTGTATGGGTAGTTGAATCACGAAATCATTTTGAATTTCAACAGATCGCGTTAAAACTGTCGAAGCTGCAGAACTTATTGTCGAATTCCCATTTTCTAAAAGAACTAATTATTGCACTATATTTGAAATTTTTTACTTTACCTGAAGGAATGTGCAACACAGATACCGCGGTACTTTGAAGTTTATTATTACTGGAGAAATCATTAGCATTAAAGTGTAAATTACAAACCGTGTGCTGGTTATACACCTTTAAGGGGTCAATTTGTACCAAACGGGAATTACCGCATCGTTGTATCCACATATCAAAACGTGCCCGATCTTTTTTGGGATTGGGAAACCTGTGGCGCGTGCCTGTCGTGTTGTAACAAGTATGCACGCTGCAAATTCTCATTTTTTCTTGTCTAGAATGTTACTAATAGTGTAATATTGATTAAACTGACGTTAACAAACTATAACATTCAATTTTAATGACATTATTTGGATTCTTTGAATTTTTTTTTTCATGGCCAAATAGATTGCTACAATTTTGCAACTATTGCGCCCTCTGATGGGCTGTGGTTGGTTCGTAAGAGTAACTGACGACATGATTAAGTTTTCATTCTATATCTTCTTATATATATTATATATATAAATCTCGTGTCACAATGTTTGTCCTCAATGGACTCCTAAACCACTTAATCGATTATAATAAAATTCGCACACCATGTGCAGTTCGATCCAACTTGAGAGATAGGATAGTTTAAATCTCAAATTATAGTCGCAATTTTAATTTATTGCTAATTATTTGTCTGTTATTATTTGACAGTCACAATTATCTGTTAACTCCAAATGATTCTAACAGATGTCGATACCTTTCGACTGGGTTGAGTAAGTAATCAATAGATGGCGCTGCTATGGTAAATCTACGAACGTGTCATATAAGCTACATTTTAACAGCATAATTACAACGTGTTGTTGACGCTATAAAATTAATTAAATTTATTTTGTAGTGAACGAAATATTGTCTTCAACGTACTTCCCCTTCAAATCTCAATCCAGTGAATTTGTATACCAACATCAACATTTTCGTCTTTGTTCGTAAATAATTTCATTGTACTAAAGGGTTATAGTAGTAGAAAGTCAAATAAGGAGATCACCATATTTTTTTACAAATACCATCTGTGTGAAAAAGCATAGTGGACTCCGTGACTGATGTTCTCTTATTGTTCCTCTTAGATTGTTTACTATAATGTAATATAACAAAAACTTTAGCCACAGCAACGCGTGGCCGGGTCAGCTAGTACGATAGTATATTATTATGTTATCTATGTACCTCTTGGACAGGCCATAATCTTATACTAGTCGGCCATGGTTTTATAAATTCTTTTTTCAAAAATAAACATAGAGGGCAATTTTGACTTTTGTTAACTTTTGAGAAAAAACCTCAATTGATTTGAAACTTCAAAAAGATTTTTTATTAACATCAAGAAATTGAAAAGAGCTAATCGTTGTCCGTAATCTGCCGGCTTTAATTCTTGCACTACGGTCAGGTGGTAGAGATGAAATTTGTTGACTTTCAAAATCCCGCTGACGGAGGCTACACTAACACCTACTGCAACGGCCACTGTTTTTCGACTCACGTGAGGGTCATTTTCGGGGCCGGTAGTTGTACTCTGCCTTGGTTTTTTAATTGGTGGCCAACTCTCCCGTAACGACATTTCCGGCTTTTAAAGATTTTGTTGGTAGGTGCTCTTTTCTGCGGATAATGTTCCGCATACATTCTAGCTGCCAAAGAACCGTTCTTCGTGCATTCCCCATAAATGAGAATCAGATCCGTTTTAACGATATTTGAAATTTAAAAGAGGCATCCAAGTAAGTTTTGAATTTGTATTTTGGGTTGCATTTTTAATTATTGCAGGCTCGTACTCATTCGTGTAATGCCCTGTATGTAATGTGAGGTTATTTCCGTTTTTCCTTCTTATCTTTAAAAGGGAAGAAAACTTGAATTGTTTCTCTGTAAACAACGAAGTTTTTTATTAAAGTACTTAATCTAATTACTAATCCTACCTATAAACAACAAAGAAACAACAATCAATGTTATTATTCATAATATTTTACATCATTATATGAAATCTGACTTGCTTCGTCACTCATTGCCACATGCAATAATTAATCATCCCATTCAGAGATCTAACTTACCAACCTAATTGCGAGGTTAGATTCAATAAGAGTGAGGGTACTTAATCCTTACCCTTACATATATATATATATATATTTTGTACATTTTTGATACGATTTATTCGGCAAAATTTTGAGATGACGTCATCAATTTTTTGGGATGGGATGAACGAATATATTTTGCTTAACGATTTACCATGATTAGGATAATCTTAAAATATTTACAAGATTTCCGAGCATTCGGTTTTGAAGTTTCAAAGTTATGTTGCAAAATATTGATATTCAGTTTTGAATTTTTTACAAAAATTCTGGATGTCTAGGGTGAAAATTCTACACAACTGCACACACCACAAGTGCAGGAGTATCTTATTTTATGAAATTTAAAAAAACTTTTTATTTTAAATTTTGGTGTCGACGTCTTCCTATTGGTGGTGGGGACGATTAACCAAATTTTAGTTAGTATTTAACCATCTCCATGATATTCCTGATATACAAAATTTGACAACAATCGCTCCAGTAGTTTCGGAGATTACTTGTCTAATAAAAATGAATACCAACAGACAGACAGACGAAAACGGGAGACCATTTTTTTCGTACTATGGAGGTCATGACACATCGAGAAAATATGAAAGTGGCAATTCGGCCGATGGAGTCGATTACTATACTTCCTTATAGAGATTATTAAAAATTTTAGACGTGACCTTCAAGACCTTCACTCATTGGTTAATGATATATATACAATTAATATTATTATTATTATTATTGATATTATTATTTTGCACTGTTTTCATTTAACGAATATTTTCTTTGTTTTTCAGAATTTTGAGATAGTAAATCTCAAGCAGCAAATAGCAGAACTTTCGAAACTTGTTGACTTTGAACAAAGAGTTACGCAAAGACTTCAAATTTCTAACAAGTAAGTAGTTGTAATTTATTTGGTTATGCGAACCCCATCTTGAGTCATTTGGCCCCATTGCGAAAAATTATAGCAATTTAACTAACAAATTTATAAGATCATTCAAGGAAGCAGTATTTGTATTTCTGCCAAGTATTTTATACTTATAATTTGTATTTAATAGAACGTTTATTCGCACAACACCGAAAACACAAAATATTTGTCGAGGCGTTTCGCCAACCACTTTGGCATTATTTAGACAAAGCTAAACTCTGTATTTGTTCGACTGCATTTCAAGGGCGAGAGAAGTTGTATATAAGTAACTTTTGACCACATTTTTGTTCAACATTCAGATGATGTATCATACTTTACTTAGACTACAACACCCAAGGTTTGTTTTTTGGTCAACGATATTCAAATTTTCTTTAAAATGTTACCTTAACCCATGTTCCACCACTGATGCTTGTGTTTATTTGGACGAATTGTTTATATGCCGCGCGACGGTTACTCCGCCGATAAGCAAATGACCCAGTATACGGTATTCTTTTAAAGTTTCCTGGAGAGACCTTTTTATGCATTCATTAATGAATCTACTTTAATTTTGTTTATTACATCTACTGCATTGATCCTTATCTACCAACAATAATGGAAAAATATGAATGCGTTGTAAAGCACATGGATAACTACAGTGTAATAATAACAGTTACCTATTATTGTATTTCCACATTGTGAAAATGGGATGTGTTGTTTCTGATTTGAAGTAAAAAAAAAAAGTTGGACACGCCGGGAGTCATACCTGGCCTTCCGTTTGGAAACCAGACTCTCGTATAGCTAAGCTATTTTCTATGTTTACTAAGCGACGTATTATGTGGTAAAAGAACAGTGTTGTTGAGCAATAATAATATTAATAATAAACAGAAGCAGGGTGGATTCACAAAACACAAGTGTGGGGGTATAATATTTTATGAAATTTAAGATATATGAATTATACAAGATTTTGGGGATCTCATCACGTTGTTGGTGGGAATGATTAGACAAATTTTGGTTAACGTTTTACAATCTACATGATATTCCTAATATAAAAAGAAAATTTTACAATAATCGGCCCAATATTTTCGGAAATTACCCGAAACTTCCAGATTTTTGGCAAAAAAAAACAAAATTATAAAACAACGTTTTGCAATTTAATTTTGAATCTGCAAAACCGAATGCTTTGAAATCTTGCAGACGTTTTAAAGTTGTGATAAGCATGATAAATGTTTAATCAAAATATATTTACTTATTCCCTCCAAATAATTAATGACGTCAGCTCAAAATTTTGCCGAATAAATCCTATCTAAAATGTGCAGATCAGTCTATACTTGTAATTTGTTATGGCATCAATATTTTTTAGATTTGCTTATGCAAGGTGACTCAAAAAAATTAATGAATCAGTCAATTTATTGTATTAAATAAATCAAGAATTGTAAAACTAAATACTTTGAAATCTTGCAGACGTTTTAATGTTACTGTAAGCATGGTAAATTGTTAAACAAAATGTATTTTGATTTATTTGATTCCCCCCAAAAAATTGATGACGTCATCTTAAAATTTTGCCGAATATGCAAAATATTATGAGCTTTTACTTGTGATTTATCATTGCATTCAGATTTCTTAGATTTGGTTATACAGGTGCTTCAAAAAAATTAATGGATGAGGAGCGGCTCACTCCATTTTCCCAAAAAATTTTTGAAATACAATACTATTATTTTTAGTATTACACTGCAGTAATGTTGATACACATGTTCTCGCAAAAATGTCGAAAAATTGTGTAAAGGAAAAATCAACGCAAAAATGCTGGATATGTTTCATTGTACTTCAGGAGCGGGGGAAGTTTTGTCGAAACAACTTCGGCCATTTTTTTTAATGTAATGCACTAATTCGTGAGAAATTAGTGATTTGCTACAGTTTGGCGTAACGACGTATAGGATTTTCTTGTATTTCCAAAAGCACATTTAAGTCAATATTTTCGTCTTTAATTTTTTTCTAAACGACCAAACTGTCTACGAGAAAATGCATGTCTGCCTGGATAAGATTGCTGGTACAACAATGCCAAAGCACGGACTGAATTTCGAAATTCCAGTTTCTCAATTTGTGCACTAAACATTTTAAATAATGCGATCAAACGCACAAATATTCAAAAAATTGACATTGACAGATATGTATGACGTATGCCTCCTTGATTTAGGCAATATTTTATTAGTGCAACAAACTGCATATATAATTATTGTTAGTTTTAATTTTTTTTTGGTTGCTGCAATTATGCTGTACCGTAACATCGTTGGATGTATGTATCAATTTAAAATAAAAAATTTGAATATTGTTACGATAATCAAGAAAGCTACATTTTTTTTTCAGTCCAAAATGTAGTACTCATACAGCCATTAAGTTTGAGATATGATATATTGTTGTGTGATTGTTAATAAAGGCACTACGAGCCGCGGCGCTTTTTGCCATCCCCCTGTATATATAAAATGAACAACAGCAATTGATATGAATCCTCACTGACTTTTTACAATTACAGCAAAGTTCATCTCATCAGTCCAGAAGAAAACATATACTTCAGTTATAGTGGAAATGACAGAATTTTTATCAGTCTTCAAAAATGTAAGTAGCGGAATTTAATTTTTTTAACCTTATACGTTTAGTAACATTTTCTATCGCGAAAAATTTTAAACGGCCTCTGATTCTCCGTTGTGGACCGACCGTTTCCAATGTAGGACGGAAAACATGTGGGGTCATAAATAACTTTTGAGTGGACCTCTTTTGTCGACACTTTTTTAAGAATGGTTTAATGCGACATGCTTGCGTGCCCCCGCCTATCATTCTACTTCCACGGTTGCAACGAAACCGCGGGTTGATCGGCGACGGCGACGGTGACGATGAAAGCGACGGTGACGGTGACGGCGACGGCACCGGTCTTGCCGATATCTTGGGGTGTGACATACACCGGAGTCGCGCCCTGGACCGACCAGTGCCGCTGAAGACACATCTAGGCGGTCTAGGCGATATGGTCGCCTCCACATCACAGGAATGGCGCTTTCAACGGGGGCGGTTTGCTCTCGCGCCCGTGACCCTGTCTCGTGAGAAACCGTGACAATAATAAATAGTACTGCGGTGAAGATTTAAAATAACCGACTTTTATTGCCTCCCAGCAGCTACACGACTAAATAAAACTTATCGGCTAAAGAAATTAATACTGTTAAAGAAAGACAAAATAACAATCATGGTCATTTCATCCCTGTCGACGGCTCCCTCACTGGACGGGCTCCGAGTTCTGTGGTGACGACACCGAAACGGAGAAAGCACGGGCACAGTACCCCGACAGGGAGACTGGTCACGCGGTCACGATGACCCAACGGTTTAGCATACGGGCGTGGATAAAAAGAGAATAGGGGCGGTGTAACGATTCGTAAGTTTGGGGGTAGAGAACGATATCGCGCAGGACCTAACTCGTTACTTACGGGTCGGAACGTCGGTAACGGCGCCTGCAATTCCAAAGAATTTTCCGCGTTCTTCCACAAACAGCAAAATCTGTTCAATCTTCCACCAACTCCTCTCACAGACGAATATTTTGTTTACGGATTCACCCTCGACTCTTGGTTTCTTATCACGGTTTTCGGTCGGCGAAAATACGCTTCGGTACATTTTGCCTTCTAATGTAACAATTGTTACCAATAGATTATCATCTTCGATATTGTTCATACACAAAGAAAACAAGCTCCTCACTTCGGGAAAATGGGGTGAATCTCCCTTGATTTAATCAATACAATAAATTGCCTCATTCATTAATTTTTTTGATCTACGCTGTATAAGCAATACCGATTCATACACAATTAGTGCCAGAATATCTTATTGTATAAAATTAAAAACACATTTACTATTGCATATTTTGAAGATGACGCCATCCCGATAGTGGTGAGAATGATTAACCTTTTACCATCTATATGATAATCCTAATATACATAAAAAAAATTGACAACAATAGGTCCGGTAGTTTCCGAAGATTATCGGTCTAATAAAAATAGATATAGACAGACGACAGACAAACGGAAACGGGAGACTACTTTTTTCGTACACTACTGGTCATGAAACGTCGAGAAAACAGTGACAAGTCGTCCCATGGATTCGATTGGTATACTTCCTTAGCTCACGCTCAGAAAGCAAAAAAAAATGTCGGAGGTTATTTCCACAAGACTTTCCTCGCCTTGAAATACAGTCCAACAAATCCCGTTTCTTAAAAAATTAAAAAATTTGATTTTACGAATTTTAATTTGTGATAACTAGAGAACGGAAAATATGCAGCAAAATTTTGGGAAATATTATCATATGATATGCATCAAATTTATGCAAAGTAACTTTCTTAATATATGCAGAGATATGCAGTTGTATATGCTCCAAAAATTAAAAAAAAAACGTAATAACAGAACTAAATTTATTTACAAATTACAAAACAGGTTTCCCGAGCTTACGTTTTATTACAAAAAATACATAAGTCACATTTTTAAAGGTAATATTCTTATACTAAAGTATAAATATAAACAGAACAAATTACAAAATAGTAGTAATCGACTATTTAATTACTATTTTGGTAACAATTTATTTTTAAATATTTTTCGAAACATTCTAACAAAAAGTTTTTCCGGTGATTCTAAAAATGTATTTGTAAATAGAAAAACTGCGTACTACGTCCACAGATGTAAAAATACTTATCGGTTTAGAGCAGGCGCGACAAAACACAGTTCCTTCTTGAAAAATAAGTTCAGGAAAAGGTTTAATCCATAAATTAATTTGAGTTATCTTCGACATATTAACACACCTGTACCGCTTTAAATGCTTTCAATGCAAACTCACGATGAAAAATAACAGGATAATGTCCTTTCGACCACCATAAAACGTACATACTATTAATACACGAACAAAAATATTGGGAATGAACGGTGTTTCCAAAAGTAATTCGGGCACGAATTTACCTGGAAGGATGGCTTAACACCCAGTGTTTTCTCCAAACTACCATAATACCCAAACATTTCCTAGTTATTTGAATGTCAGTACAACATATTTGTAACATGATTCATAAAATTTCGTGTTTCTAGATAAATGCCGATAGAATGACAATCATTTTTTTTAAAGTAGCACAAAAATTGTTAAAAATGCAAAATATGCACCCGTTACGTGAAATATGCAGCAGAAGGCAAACATATGCAGATATGCAATTTTTTTATAGCTGTATTCATTTCTAATTAGCATGATTCGTGCACATATTAAATATCAAGACTTATATGCAAAAAATAACGGATATGCAAATTTCATAAAATCCGCTCTCTAGTGATTACCTTTATATGTGCATTATAATAAATACAGATAAATAATACCAGAAACCGAATAATAAGGTAAATGACTTCCTTTGTTTGTCTAAGACATCCCATTTATTTTTAACTAGGTGACCCCGTGAACTTCGTTTCACCTACAATTTAATTTTGAATCTGCAAAACCTAATGCTTTGAAATCTTGCAGATGTTTTAAATATATGATAAGCATAATAAATTTTTATTCAAAATATATTTACTTATCCACTCCAAAAAATTGATGACGTCAGCCCAAAATTTTGCCAAATGGATCCTATCTAAAATGTCCAAAATAGAATGAGACTATACTTGTGATTCATTCATATTTTTAGTTTTGCTTATAGGGGGTGTCTCAAAAAAATTAATCACTGAGTCATTTTATTTTATTGATTGAATCAAGAATTGCAAAACTGAATTTTGAAATATTGCAGACGTTTTGAAGTTATTGTTTGACATGGTATGTTTTTAATCAAAATATATCTGTTTATCAAGCCCAAAAACTTGATGATGTCATCTCAAGATCTTGCCGAATAAATCCTACCTAAAATGTGCAAAATATCATCAGTATATTTTCGTAATTTATCACTGCATTCATATTTTTTATATTTGCTTTTACAGTGACTCAAAAAAATATATGGATCAATCAATTTATTTTAATGAATAACTCAAGAGTTGCAGAAATGAACACTTTGAGATGTTGCAGACGTTTTAAAGATATTGTAAGCATGGTAAATTGTTAAGAATATTTATTTATTCCCCCCAAAAAATTGATGGAATGGCTTACTCGATTTTCGCAAATAATTTTGGGAATACAATACAGTTATTTTTAGTATTACACTGCACCAACCCAAGGTGGTATACGTGTTGATCGTAAATGTTGATTGGGTCATCATAAAATTGTGTGAAGAAAAGACTCAACTCGAAAATGCTGAATATGTTTCATTATACTTTTGGTGCGAAGGAAGTTCTGTCGAAACAACGTTCGATCAATTTTTTGACACTAAATAAAACTCAGTAGATGCTCATACTCGAAATACGAAGTATCTACTCGAATATCAAATCAAAATATTTCTAGTTTTTCTAGATGCTGCTAATACTTCAATAGGTAACAGTTGATGCTCAAGTAGCATCTCGATACAACAAAAAAGGAAAACAGTAACAGTCTTCAACCATCAAGGCAAAAATCGAGTCACCAAAATATAAGTTAGTATGGGGTAGACAGATAGATGGGAATCTCTATACCCAGTGTTAGAAAAAACGCACTGCACAATTTATGCATAAATAAAAGGTAATTACCTGAAAAGTTTTCGATATTCCTGTTTTTCAAATTGAATGCACCTTTTGACGACGTTCCACGTTCATGAAAGTCGTCATGTTTAGTTAAAATTCACTCTTACAACGATCCTACTCGTTTTCTAAGCTGGTTTACAGACAGCTCAGTTATTTGCCACGCCAATCCTCATTTTTAGATTAAATGCTCACAAAACGCGGATATGTTCAATTTGTGTCCGGGGAGATACAATGTTTCCAAGTAGGTACTCAGTACATAGAGTAGATGCTCAGGTATATGTATAAGAGTAATAATGAAGTAGGTACTTCGTACTTCGAATATGAGTATCTACTCAGTTTTATTCATACCACCCAACGTCTCGCTTTAATGTTTGATTATGTTGATTATGAGCACAACGCTGACCAACTTCCATATCCGAGTTACCCATGAAATAAATCATTGCGGTTTGCATCAGAGGTAGTTCGTCGCACATTTAATAGAATAGAATAGAATAGAATAAATTTATTAGCATACAAAATACAATTTGTTTAGCCTCGTCCAGTAACAAAATGTACACACTTATATAACATATACTTACACACTAGACTAAAATATACACTTTGTATAAACAAGTACAATCAAGTACCTACATAACAGTACTGCTAAAACAATCAATAAATGATCTGCGCCGCCGAAGACATCCTATATGTGAACACTAGCAAATTCCTCAATGTTATAAAACAATTTTTCATGCAAAATGGACTTAATCTTAGACTTAAATTTATTGGTCGAAAGACTTTTGACCGTGTGTGGTAATAAGTTAAACATTTTAATGCAAGTTACTTGTATGGAATTTTTTGTTTTTTCTAACCGATGGTATGGCATCATGAATTTATCTTTGTTACGAGTTGGGTAATCATGGACGTCTGAATGTTTAACAAAGTTATTTTGTTGTTCATATGCATATAGTAGTATATTATAAATATAAATGCAAGGAAGAGGCAAGATATTAAGTTTTTTAAAGAAGGGTTTACAATGTGCCCTCATGTCACGACAGTTTGATAGAACTCGGATAGCTTTTTTCTGTATAGAAAATATTCGAGTTGCGTTACTAGAATTTCCCCAAAGTATAATACCATAGCTTAGTAAACTATTAAAATTACTGAAATAAAATGTGCGAGCTATATCGCTGGAGCAATACAACATTAATTTTTTTATTTGGTATAATACTGAGTTCAGTCGTGGTGCCAGTACATCAATGTGTGGTTTCCATGTAAGTCTACTGTCCAATGTCAGCCCTAATGGTTTTCCTACATTCATAACATCAGTAGTGTTTGTTAAGTTAGATTTTAAGGAAAATATAACACATTGATTTTTCTCTTCATTTAAAACTAAACTATTCGATGCAAGCCATTCCTTTGTTTTTTGCTTACTGTGACTTTCCATTTTTTTAAGATCCTGAATGTTATCTGACGAATTGACGAGACTCGTGTCATCCGCAAATAATATACATTTTTGTGTATCTATATTTGCAGCAATATCATTGATATAAATTAAAAATAATATTGGTCCCAATATTGAACCCTGGGGAACTCCAATCTTCAATGTTTTGGGTAGCGATAATATGCTTTTTTCAGATACTACTTGTGTTCTATCTTTTAAATATGACGCAAGAAGTTCGTGGCATTTGCCTCTTACTCCATAATAATATAGTTTATTTAATAGGATGTGGTGGTTTACACAATCGAAAGCCTTCGATAGATCAAGCATCGTCGCGCAAGTGGCTTTGTTGTTTTCGATGTTAGACATTATACAGGGTGACTGCGAAATAAGTGCAAATATTTTAACCACGGCATCCCCTACCCTAGTAGAGTCGAAATATAGAAAAAACAAATTAAAAATCGAATGGGGCAAAACCCCCATGAACCACCCTCGATTCGAAGGCACTGAGCCACCTTGTAAACAGAGTTGGAAAAACGTTCGAATAAAAACGACCTAAACACTTTCAGTTTCAATTAAAAGTAAAACCGACTTTTTGCTGCTTATCATTCGTTCATTCATTTATTCATGCATCGTTAAAGGTCAGTGCGAAAATTTTTTGGTAATGCTTCATGGTGATCAACTTTTGATTCTGACGGATGTTTGGTCCTTGCCACAACGATTTTGCATTGTTTATTGGAACAAAAATAAGAGCAACTTAAAATGTTACTACCTTTTTATAAGAAATGTTGAAAATGTTGTCCTTGACTAGCCATACAGGCGTCAGAGCGTCGCAAGATGTTTGTTGATAGGTAAAAAAAGACCGGAGTAGCGGCTGCCACTTTCACTTGTTGTTGAAGCTCTTCGATAATTTCTGGACACTGTTGATTTTCACAAACTAACTGTTTCATCCAACCGATACACATTTATCGAAAACCGTCTCTTGCAATCGTACTTGTTGACGAGCATGTGGAGTTTGATCGGACAAAAAGTGAGTTACACAACGTGGACAATCAGCGGGCTCCAAACTCTGTACTTTGTCAACATGGTATGGTTGTGGCCGTATTCTTTTAATGTAGGATGCACTACAAGCTGTGAAAATCAAACTTCTTCTTTCTGTCCTATCACGGCCACGATCGTGAGTTTGAGGTTGAAGGTACCATGATCTCGAAGATGCTGTACCACTGATGCACCAATTACCATATCGACACAATCTGCATGGGAAAACTCCACCATAAACCGATTTCACCGACCGCTCGATGCTAACTGGCCCTTTTCGTGTTTTTCACGTTGCGATTAAAAAAGTGCCTGATAAAGTCACTTTTTTGGTTCTTAATCCGACTCACTCTGTTCCATTCATTGTAGTAATTATGTAGGTCACAAAACAGTCCAGCGGCGCGGCGCGTACAACAATTTACATTTAATTTCAAATAATTTTTTCTAGACACTGCTACTACTTAGGACCGTGAATTTTACCCAGTGACATAATCATATTGTGAGCTATTCCCCATTTTTTTTTTGCATGTATTTCGCAATCACCTTGTAGTTTCTACTAGATTTAGGATAGCTAAAATAGTTGATTTGTTTTTTCTAAATCTAAATTGCTCACTAACAAACACATGATTATTTTCGAAAAATTGGACTAGTCTCTTTTTTAAGATTTTTTCAAATATTTTAGAAATAATTGGCAAAATAGATATGGGTCTGTAATTGTTAATGTTATTTATATCCCCTTTCTTATGTAATGCTATGGTTTTTGCAACTTTCAAGCAACTTGGAAATATACCTTCGTCAATACATCTGTTTATTAGTACTGATAAGGGTTTAGCAATGGTGGGAGCTACGAATTTAATAACAGTCGAATTTAGGCCATACAAATCGTTGCTAGTAGAAGATTTTAATTCATTGACGCTTTTTAAGATTTCGTTTTCATCAGTTTGCCAGAAGCAAATGGAATTTACTGGTGATTTGTTTAAGTTGTTAACAAAAGTGGAACAACTGCTTGTTTTTGCCGATGGAATGTTTGAGATTAGTTGGTTGGCAACCTTGACAAAATGTGTATTTAACTCTTCAGCTGTATGTAAACTTTGACGGGTGCTGTTATACTTTACATTTAGTTCTGATTTAATAAGTTTCCATACCGCTTTGCTTTTGTTTGAAGAAGCCAGGATGAAATCGTTGTTAGCTTTTTTTTTCGCTTCTATTAATTTGTATTTATATTTAGATCTTAGTGATTTGTAAACATTATCTAAAGATTTTTCATATTGACGCACAATACCTAAAATTTCAATTTGTTTTCTCATTTGATGAAGTTCGTTATTGAACCATTTTATTTTATGTCGTCGATTCACATTTGTTGTAACTAAGTTTTCAGGAATTACTACATTAAATATATCTACAAATCTTTGATGGAAGTAGTTAAACACCTCCTCTACTGATAGATTGTTATCATTAACATATGCAAAGTTTTGCTGCCTCAATACATTGACAAGTTTTTCACAGTTAGTGTTATTTATATTTCTACAGGTTTTTGTTCTAATAGATGGTATGTCTTTATTTTTATGTGATAAAATAACGGTTGTATGTTCTGTAAATGGAGGTAGCTCTGCTGAACACACTGAATAATAATATTAATAATAAAAAATAATAATAATATTAAGGCAAGTAAAAAAAGCCAATTCGCGAATGTACATTTTACATCGATCCTTTGCTAAAACAAACATTAGTATCAGGGCACAATTATTTAAAATGTACATTAAACCAAGTCTTGAATTTGCAAGTGTGGTATGGTCTCTGAGCAGATTACAAGATTTAGAAACCTATGAAAACGCGCAACGAACAACGATTAAGAGGACACCGATTACACTTATCAACACCACAATTTAAAACGAAAATGAAAATACAAATATATTCAAAAACCGATTCGACAAATTTTATAAGTATGTGGCAATAATTTGATGTGAATATTTCTAGAGAGTAATATAGCTCATTAGAGCTCTACTCAATTATGATCAATAATAATAATAATTTTAAATTCACTTTGACTTCGACATTTCGATTTTCCATGTCTAATCCAAAGAGGCGATCGTCGAACTGAGACGGAACGTTTCACGACAAATCTGGCCGAGCGCTAATTTTAAAATACGATTTTTTATAGTGAATAAGAACGAAATGCAACGATTTGAAAAAAATACTGGCCGATACCCGTCCTTGACCTCCACAAATGCATCAAATAATAGCTTTAAAGTGATCGAGGGAGATGTTATAAAATAAAAACCAATGTCCAAACTTGGACTGTATCACAAAGTTTTAAATTTTTGTAAACTTTGATAATGTTATGAATATTTTGGCACGGCAGTAAGTACTATCGGTGGTTATATGAATTTTTATTTTAGGTTATCCATTAAAGTCTTTTGACTTATCGTTCACACAGACAAAGGATTCTAAAGTATTACAGAATATAAATTACAAAAAAAATGGCGATCAACAAAAAGGAACTTTTTCTAGCCTGACAGTAGATTCGATTATGAGTTCTTTATTGAAAGAAATTACATCTCTAGTCAAATTATCTTCTGAAGATTTGAATTGTCACCAGGCTAATCATTCCGCAATCAAAGTGGGTAAATTTTAAAATTAACTGGTTTTGGTAGATTTTTTCCTTGATTTATTAGGTTGTGGATGTTCTTTGTCAGCTATTAAAAATATTTCAAGATTATTTTAAAGAAATAGAAAATAACTGCGGACCTTTTCACGAAACAAGAGAACAAGGTGTACAGTACTCGCTTAACAACGGGTAAGTATAATACTTAAAAATATAGCATATTTTCTGATACTCTCAATTAATATGTTACAATAACATTAAAAGTAAACAACCGTGTTATAAATTGATTTACATGGATTAGAAAGTAGCAGTAAAAAAACGAAAAGGTCCTTTTTTGTACAAAACAATGTTATATTTTTAAAATTGGAACGTCAGTGTTTTTTGGTATAATTTGCAACTAGATAAATGTTTCGTATTTTGGTACTTGTTTCAGGTTGCAACGTTTAAGTCTGTTCTGTACTGAGGTTATAAGATTCCTGCAAGAATTGTTACCTTTCAATACTTTTTTAGAAACATATTTAGTAATGCAGCCAGCAACGCATTTCGAAAGTACTAGGATCACCCAGTCATTTGCCAACGTAACAGAGAGTATCTGTTGGATACCTTTATCACACATTATTTCCATTATTGGAAAAACTGTAAGTTTTGTGTCGTAATTTTTAAAATGCTTATTTTTGACTAATACGGGATTAATAATATTCAAACATCGAAAATAGAAGATATTGAACTTAAAAAAATATTCCTTAAGTCAATATATGTATGTATAACATGGTGCCAAAGATAACGTTATGTTTCAGTATGTTTTTGTTACATATGTTACTTTGTTATGTTATATTTCACCAAATAAAATATTATTTTCATTTTGTTTTCACTGCACAAAATATGCCAACTTATAGCAAGTTTTTTTTTTATTATTTCCTTGATCTCTAATCTGCGAATCAAGATGTTTTTTAATCCTTGCTGAGAGGGTTAGCTTATATACAAAGCAAACTTTTTCAGTTCTTCCGTATATTATTATAATTGTTATTTTATATTTTTAACCGTTTTGTCTTTCAGAAACAAGAAAAAACGTTCAACAAATTTTTGCTGACTGTCATGAAACTACTATGTAGAATATTCAGTTCAGAAGACTCGACACATCTTAAGTAATATCGACTTGTATCATATTATGAAAACGTTAACTTGTTTTTTTTTCCAGGCAAAATACGCAAGTGAATATCTTGCAGGAATTGCTTATCCTAAATCTTGATTTTCAACTAATGCAACAAATGAATGTGTTACTCAATGTAATTGTGTGTAGTCATAATTTATCATACACTTGTTTATTCAATCACGAGAATTTAAACAGTCGCTGTAGTAATGGTATGTACTGTATTTTCTCATCAATAATACAAATTAAGCCCTGTCAAGAATGTTGCAGGTTTCTTATATATGTTTCTTTATTAGAAGACACCTTGTTGAAAAATGAAAAAAGCGATGAATTTTCAGATTTTATTTCAACTATTTTGAATCTAACACATAACATTTTAAAGGCAAATAAAACGTAACAAAATATATGCAACTACTTAGTTTTTAGATACACATTTCTGTGGTGTTTCAGATACGAATGTATATGCAAATTATACAAGTTGTCGATCGGAATTATTTACAAAAATTTAAAAATACATGAAATTTCTCCTCGTAAGGCAGGACTTTTATTAAAAAATTATGTTGAAGTACTAAGTCTAATCATTTTTAATGCATACGATGTAACGCAAAAGTATGTTGTTGATTATGCCCAAATCAAAGAAATTATGTATACAATTATCAGTATCAATGGAAAGATTAATGACATGAACTGTACGTATCACATAACTTACTTAACATTAGTAAATGTTTTTTTCTTTTTCCAGTAAAAAAATTAGACAAACTCGGCGCAACTGAAGATAGTCCATTAATAGCCAGAGAAAAGTTTAATTTAGTCACTTTATGATTTTGTGATCATCAAGTTTGCAGTATCCACATGGTTACAAAAAATTAATGAATCTAATTTTGTCTGCATGATTGCATTAAGGTAGATTTATGTACATATATTTGCATACACATCATACTCATTCTTAATTGTTTAAGAATGATTATGATTGAGTGTCACTTTGTATTTATGCCTATTCCAAGCAATAAAAAATCTGCAACTCTAAGCATTTGGTTTATACCCAAAGTGGTGATTCTTTTTGTTTGAGAGAGGCCTTCAGACCCACTGTGTCCCACCTCCCATAGGTCTTGAGTCCTATAAATTCCTGTAAGAGTCAAGATCAGAATCGTAAGTGTGTGCATCGCTCTGTGGTTTTCTGGTGTTTTTGGTATATTCATTAATTTATTACTGGTTTATTTTTCTATAAACTTGTACAATGTATTTTTTTTTGTCCATATTGATGCAGCTTGTCTTGCATTTTGCCTTTCAGATAAATATTAATTGCTTTCGAATTAATTTAATTTAATATTTTCGGCAAGTGCGTTTGCTGTTTTTACTGCTGATACCGTTTCGAATATGACTTAGCTGGCCGGCTCGTCGGCCATAGGCGAATTATCAGGGCGTTTATTTTTTCGTCTCATAGGTTATTTTTACCTTTAATTCTTTTTAGCTGGATTCTTTGTAATCTGAACTTTCCTGTCCGGGAGAAATGTGATTGCATCCTCAACATGTTAACTCCGTGCGGTGAGTGCTTAGCAGCCATTAACAAAAACAGTAAGTATATCTCTCAGTAAGTATTTTATGTAGGGGTTTGCAATAACCGTTTTCATATATCGTATATAAATATTTCATCTGATTTATTCAGACAATTCAAACATGTTCGCGGTTTGTCCTGGAAATGTGTGAATTGTGATAGAATGTGTTTCTGTGGATCAGGTGGGTTAAAAACAAAGTACAGAAGACAATAAAAACAAAAACCTGTGTGGCGCCATCTATGTAGACCTGACCGCGGCGTTTCCCCCCACGAGAGGGCTAGGAGAATTAGTACTTCTGAGAGTCTCGCTCTGACATGAACACTGCTTTGTATTTTCCCTTGTGTGAACGTTTGTGAATAAATTGTTAATTGTTGGGAATTGAGAGTTATTGAGTCCTGACCAACATCAACCCCACAAATTGGTGACCCCGACTAAAAGGCAAATCAACGCGAGGAGAGCGAAAAAACCCAGCCACGTGGTCAAGCAACTCCACGCCGCACCGGGACGAAAAAACAAGATGGCTGGCGACGATGATCAAAGCGAACAAACGCACGCGTCTGCCGCAACCCATTTCGTACTGCCCCCATTCTGGTCAGCCAAGCCAGACCTATGGTTCACAACGGTAGAAGCAAAGTTCCAGATCAGCAAAATTACAAAAGAGGAGACACGTTTCAACCATGTGCTCACCATATTACCACCCGATGTAGCAGCCGAAGTATCCGACGTCATCTTGAAGCCACACGACACGGAGCCTTACACATGTCTCAAACAAGCCATCGTCAGTCGCACCTGCATCACCGAGACGCAGCGACTAAAGCAGTTGTTAGGAGGCCAGGAGTTAGGTTCCAGGAAGCCCTCACAGCTGTTGAGACACATGCAGTCCCTAATACAAAATACGCCCTACGTAAATGCCACAGCGTTACGAGAACTATTTATTCAACAGATGCCAGTATCCATTCAGCCGATCCTTGTGTCGCTTACACAAGTCGAAATCGACAAGGTGGCAGAGGTGGCCGACAAAATACTTGAGTCCACCCCGTCGGCAGCGGTGGCGGAAGTACGAGCAAGGTCTCCGCAACCAGGTCCATCACGCTCGAGCGACGTCGACATGATGCAGATGATGTCAAAAATCCTGGAAAAAATGGACAATCTGATGCAACGGCTCGAAGGGGAAAGCAAAAAGCGAACTCGAAGTCGAAGCAGAAGCAGAGAGGACCAGCAGTGCTGGTATCATCGAAAATTTGGGGAGAAAGCCAATAAGTGCACACGACCCTGCAGCTTCCAAAAAAACGGGCACGAGGGCCGCACGTAAGGGCAGCTGCGGTGGCCCGGCAAGCGTCTCGACGCCTGTTCATCGTCGACAAAGGGTGGAAGATACACTTCTTGGTCGACACAGGCGCCGATATCAGCATTCTGCCCGCCAAATTCAAACACAAGTGCGCCCGTGAACCCACCTCGTTGCGACTACAGTCAGCCGATGGTTCGGATATCCGCGTTTTTGGTCAAATAACCGTCACACTAAATCTTGGCCTTCGCCGCGAGTTCAAGTGGACCTTTATAGTCGCCGAGGTAACGAACGCAATAATCGGCGCAGATTTTCTCGAGCATTATGGCTTGTGCGTGGACATAAAAAACAAAAAAATAAGTGACTCGCGCACATCGCTTTCGGTCGAAGGGCGTTTGAAACGCGCTCACGAACACGGGATCCACGCAGTCCTCGAAGGTGCGAGTGCAACATATAAACAGATGCTGCAAAAGTACCCAGAGGTCACCCGAGCTACAACAACGCCACGCGAAACGAAACATGACGTGGTTCACCACATTCCAACTCGGGGACCCCCAGCCCACTTTAGACCCCGAAGACTGCCGCCTGACAAGCTGCGAATCGCCAAAGAAGAATTTCGGCGTATGAGGGAAAATGGCATCATACAGCCGTCCTCCTCACCTTGGGCCAGTCCTTTGCATATGGTCCCCAAAAACAATGGCACATGGCGTCTATGCGGGGACTATCGCGGTCTTAACGCAGTCACAATCCCCGACCGCTATCCAGTGCCGCACATCCAAGACTTCGCCGCCAATTTAAAGGGCAAGACAATTTTCTCCTCATTGGACCTATTAACCGCATATTTTCAGATACCTGTAAATCCAAGCGATAGACCAAAGACAGCTGTCACAACACCATTCGGACTCTTCGAATTCCTGCGGATGCCATATGGGTTAAAAAATGCCGGACAAACATTCCAGAGATTTGTAGACCAAGCATTGTACGGACTTGACTTCGCCTACGCCTATATAGACGACATACTTGTTGCCAGCACCTCAGAACAAGAACATGTCCAACATGTGGAGGAAATGCTCCGACGTCTGCACAAACATGGCATAGTCATCAACCCAGGAAAATGCAAGTTTGGCGTACCTGAGCTAGCATTCCTTGGCGTCAAGGTTTCAAACAAAGGCCTGGAACCGCTCCCAGAGAAAGTCAGCGCAATAAGAACTTTCCCAAAACCAAAAACTTCAAAAGACTTGCATAGGTTTTTGGGAATGCTAAACTATTACCGCAGATGGATCAATGGCGCAGCAAATACCCAAGCACCCCTGAACAACCTTCTTCAAGGGTGTTCACGTAAAAACGCCGATTTACGTTGGAACCAGGAAGCTGAGAGAGCTTTTGAAAAATGTAAGTCGGATCTAGCTAACGTAACAACACTAACATTCCCCGATCCCAAACTGCCACTCAGTTTAGCAGTAGATGCTTCAGCTGAGGCCATCGGAGGAGTGTTACAGCAGTTGGAAGAATCGTCTCAAAAGCCCCTCGCATTTTTCTCATTGAAATTGAGAGTTATTGAGTCCTGACCAACATCAACCCCACACCTGTATTAATGAAAATATCAATGCAGTTGATTCACAGCTGCCAATTGCTGAAGTTAAAAATGTTAAAGAAGGTGGTGTTCTTGTAGGATTCTCTTCAAAACAGGAAAACTTTCGATTTAAAAAAAATGCAAGTGAGAAACTTGCGGAAGATTACGAAATCAAAAAAATAAAGGGCATCCAACCTGGAATAAAAATTGTAGGTATGACGTGAAATTTATAAAGATGAGATTTCTGATTTTCTGGAATATGCTGTTCGACAAAATTGTACCAGTATACGAGGGCTGTCCGGCGGAAAGTGAGCCTAAGGTCGAAAGACTGACTTTTAAAATCTATTATATTTTTTACTTTGTAACATAATCTCTATCTATTTCAATACACTTTTCACATCGACCGTGCAATTGTTTTATTCCGCGAAAAAAATATTCCGAAACTTGGTCTGCAAAATGCTCATCTACAGCTGACTTCATTTCGTTTTCATCGAAAAATCTCCTACCACGTAACGCCTTTTTTAAATCTTTAAACAAATAAAAATGGCTGGTAGCCAGATCTGGACTGTAGGGTGGATGATTAATTTCCTCGAAGCCCATATCTTGTACAGCACGCCTTGCAACTTGAGCTGTGTGAACTGGCGCATTGTCCTGCAATAGGAGAATTCCTCGGCTAAGTTTGCCCCTGCGTTTTTCAATAATAGCTTGTCGCAGTTTGATTATTAAGTCAGCATAATATTGACTGTTCATTGTTCTTTCTCTTGGAAGGTAATCCACCAGAAGTATTCCTGCGTTATCCCAGAATATCGTTGCCATAAGTTTGGTTGCCATCCTTTGAACCTTAAACTTGCTCGGTGGCTTTTTTCCCTTTTTTATGCAATGCATAGACTCTTGTTTGGATTCTGGATCGTACTGATAAATCCATGTTTCATCACCGGTTACAATACGATGACAAATTGCATCCAAATCATTCTCACATAAATGAAGAAAATCATGAGAACTTTCCACTCTCCGTTCCCGATCTAACGGCGTTAGCATTTTGGGTACCCAACGCGCGCACCTTGCTCATTAACAAATGATTATGAAGAATTTGTCCAACACTATCTTTACTAATCTTCAATTCCTCTGCTATCTGACGAACTCGAATTCGACGATCTTCAAGAACTAATTGTTCTACTTTTTTGATATTTTGTCGGGAACGAGAGTGCAAGAAAGCCCTGGGTGTTCATCGTATTCAATTAACTTTCGTCCCTCTTTGAACAGTCGAGTCCACCTTTTGACTGTTGCATATGATGGAGCACATTGTGAATAAGTGGCCAATAATTCTTCATTAATTTCTTTGACACATTTACCTTTTTTTAGAAGGTATTTTATCACAGCACGATATTCCAATTTCCAAAAAGACAGCGTTTCACTAGACATGTTGTGGTTTGTTTTACGTTTTCTCAATAACCGTTACATCAATCATAACCAAATTTGAGACATCAACCATAGAATACCCTCTCTATAGAACACGATCTCTAATGCTTTTATGTTGGTCACAATGTCAGCATCTACTGGCTGGGTCGGGAACTAAAACTGGCGCTAAATTTGAAAGCGAATTTTTAAGGTGAATTTTTTATAATTGAAGGGGAAAATATGGTTTGTGTATTTTATATGTTAGTTTCAAAACGTATAAATACGTTTTGAAGCTGACATATAAAAAACACAAACAGTGTAAAAAAAAGTAGATAAAATATTTGACACAGTATATTTAAAACTTAACATTCAGTTGTAAATGTAAATACAATAATAACAATAAATAAATAAATAAATACATTGATAATATCCTAAAAATATCTTAAGAGAAAATTAGAAAAGTAAGCAAAAGTCAAACAAAATAGTGCAAAATAAAATAACATTTTAAATATTAAATGTTCAAAATTGATAACCAAATATGTTTCCCAGTACTTTGTTATGGTGTGAACAAAACAAAGCTGATGAATAACCTGCAAAATCCAAAATTATACAAACGTTCTACTTTCTTTCTGTAAAACGTAAATATAACTGTTGCATTTCTGTTTCCAATGGAATTGATTTGTTTGGGTCTTCCTTACCAATTACTACATTGCTGACTTTTTTCATAGATCTAAAGATAGACTCTCTTAAAAATAAATGAAAAAGTTGAGTTTTTAGTTCTTCGATATGCAAAACACTCCCGAAAATCAAAATCAATCGCCCCTTTCATAACCGTTTTATCAAAAAATGGGCAGAGTTTACGCCAGGCATGGAATTTTTACAAAAAGCAAAAACAACAGGTTGCTTCTACCTTCCGAAAATTCCTCTGAGTACGCAAATATGGTCTGCAATTTTTTCCGTCCTTGTTGAACCGTCATCTTCAAAAACCACAACTGTCCTCACAAGGCAAGTGGTCCAGATGAGGCTGAATGAACATCTCATCAAAGATGAGAATACAAACTTAGGGTTAATTTTGTGACTTACTTGCTTTCTGAGAACTTCGAATATAAGTTGATGATACCCGGTTCTATTGGAACTTTATTTAGGGTTGCCCTCAAAGTGTTAATAGATAGCAACATAAACATTCTTGGCAGAAGTTTATACGATGTTGAACCATACTTCCAAATGGCAATGGCATCTGCTTTCACCTCAAATGTAAAACTCCTGCTTTTCGATTTACGTTTCTAATCTAGTTTTCAAAAAATTCTCGCTGAAAAGAAGCCAATCCTTTCACGATACCAACCAAACGTTGATCTCCTAGAAACTTCTTAGCGGAGCGAAAGGCGTTCTTGTGATTGCCACATCAATGTGGTTGGCTTCGAGTGATGCTGTAGCAAGTTCACTATCAGCTGTGAATAAAAATATCTTAATATTTGTTTTGTAGTGACTTTCAATTTGTTTTACCGTGGAAAGGCAAAATAGCTGGTACTGCAAATCTATGCGGCTTTTGCGTTCTGGTATGTAGTCGTTGTCTGGTCGAAAATGATGGAAGCCAGTGTACCCCCTGCTATAAATTTGGTTGTTGTTTAAAACCACCAGTTTTTGGTTATTCGCAGCTTTATTATTTGCGCCATAAACCGATTTGGACGTGGAACCCAAAGATCGGCTTAACTCTCGTCGTATATCCGTAACATGTTGTTGTCTTGCATTTTTGTTCTACAAAAATTGGGTATAATAATCTAGTCAAGGCAAAGTTATATACTTACATTTGGCAATTACACTCTACAATGTACAATGTAAACACATAAATTAAGAAAACTTTGAGAATCACTATCCCACTATGAAATCACGCATAAATCACGCGAATACAACACAGGAAATGTGTCAAATGATAAACACTGCCGTTGCTAGGAGATTTAAACGAATTCTCAAAAATTTTGAAAATCACAGCTTTTACAGATTTCTTTTCATTACGACTCCTGGCGGGCGGGTCGGAAAACTTCGCAAAGAAAGGATAAGGTGAAGGCTATCTCATTTCAAGACCCCTGACATCAACTACTAACATTATGTGTGTATACCATAGAAATAATATTATATGGAAGTAACTTAGAGAGAGATGCGCGTTGTCAACACAGTCGGACAGAGATGGGTTTCTTTGGGTGGCAACACATTGGCGCGAAACTGCCCGGCAATGTGTTTCTGGGAGGTTTCTTTCGTGTTCTCGCATGGTGTGTGAAGGTGTTTTGTTTGCAAAATTACGTTTAGTGGACTCAAGTTACAATTATTCAAATTAGTAGTGTTCTTAGGTTGCATTTTATCGAACTATTTGTTAAATATGGTGAAATCGTGTTGTGCATATAACTGCACGGAACGTGCAAACGGAAGCAATTTTATTTCATTTCATAGGTAGTAATTACATGTTGTATACAAACGAAGGATTTCGCATAATATAAAAATTTTGTTAGATTCCCTAAACATCCCGAATTACGAAAAAAATGGATTATAGCTACAAAAAGGGAGGATTTTATACCTATTGAAAATACTCGTATTTATGCAAACATTTTCTAGAATCAGATTTCATAATCCATTTTGGTAAAAGACAATTGAAGAAAGATGTTATTCCCAGCGTCTTTAATTTTCCTGAACATTTATGCAAAAATAAAAAAAAACAAAAGAATACTTAAGCGAAGGCGTTCATTTCCAACAAGGTACCTAAACACACTTACTTTACTCATTAATCAATATTATTATTTTTTAACTCATTTTTGGTTATTGTGTTAGTTAATTGTATGTGAATTTAAAAAATTGATCTTGGTAGAGAATTCACACAATTTAATATGTTTAATTAAATTAGTCAAACTGTTAGATTTTCCGAAAGTTTAATTACTTTTATCCTAAAAATTCAGATTTCCAAATGTTAGCTTGAAAAAACAATTATTGTACACTATTAGATTTCGGTAACTTGTAGAAGATTGTTGTATTAACTGGATTCGTAATGTATTGTAGATTCTGCACACATTTCATTTTATTAAAAGAGGATTTCCATCGCTTAACACGATTTCTGTTATTTTAGATTATATATAATTATAATGTAAGCTGTGAAAATATAGTTTTCATTAATAAACGTTTGTTATAATAATTTGTTTGAACAAATTCGGAAGAAAACGTATTAATTCCCGTGCAAATGAAGCTTTTCTTGCCACTCAGCACGTGACACCCAGTCCGCCGTCCTTTCCCCACTGACGCATAACCGGTCTATAGTTGGATTAATGTATCTTTTTACACACGTGACCAAAAGCTAACGTCCGAACTAATAACTGTTACTTTGTAGTAATTAGTCAAAAAGATAGCAATGTTCATAACGTCAACATGACACAAATGTGTAGGCTCAGGCAGGTCTTTTGGTTTCGGTGCTTTCCGATTGGGTCGTGATTTTGTCGGACTGGGAAGAACGCAGAATCTTTCTTTTCGAGTTTTAATCTTCGAAACGGTTCGGCGAGTAACGCCTAGAGCATCTGCAACTCGCTAAAAATTTGAGCGAAATTATTAACCATGAACCTTCAAGTGGTTTTTACTTACTTACTTGTTCTGTACCATTTAATGAGATTAAAGGACCACCATTTTCCTTCTCAAGAGCAAAATACTCGATAAAGTTGGACACGATGTCCTGGGCACGGGAACTCAAACGTTTGCCCGCCATGTTGTAGACCAAACACGAATAAGAAATAAGATAACAAAACATAAAAAATAGGACAATGAAACAAGAATCCTAACAACCAACGAACTTTACGAAGAACTGAATAGAAAACTTAAATAGAACAACGAAAAACTGCGATTAACCACTCTGAGTAAAACCAAAAATGACAGTGACGTTTGTTGAAAAATCGATGAATTATTAACAGTCACTAGATTGACTACATCAGTGCCTGTCGCACTATGTGGACGCATTTATTGCGTATTTTATCTTTTTCTAATTCAAGGAACTTTGTGGAAGAGAATAACTGACGTAGAGCGTAATTTGGCCTAATTTCGGTAGACATACTATTTGTCTGGCTTTTCGTTTTTGTAATCCTTAAAACAAAGATTCTTATGGTAGGTGCTGTCTGAGCTTGTATGATACTTCGGTCACGTGTGTCAAAAGATACATGAATCCAATTATAGCTGTTTCTCTCTTATGTTGATTACACTCGCCTGCGTATGGAAACGTATACAAGGCTCCATCCACTCCTTTATTATATCAATGGTGTATACATACAGTCGAAGTTTTTTTTTTAAACACCCATCTTCTAGACGAGGCTCAATTTCCGCCGGACAACCCTCGTAAATCTGAATATTGAGTGCACCGTTGTTAAATTTTTCCCAAAACTAAGAAAAACTGGAGTATTGTCGTGCCCAAATTGTTTTTTACCGCGGCCGAGCATTTGGACACTAACAAAATTGTTTATTTGGGTGTAGACCCATTTCCTTGTAAATGGAAGAGCTAAACTGCGTATGGGGGAATAATTAAACGTTCCTAACAATTTAATACATATTATATGGAAAAATAAAACTACAACAAAAATGATAAATGAGTAAATATGTAAATAGAGAGTGGCAAAATAAAACATGAGATTAACCTTACATAACTAAAAACATGCAAAACTATGTAAAAAGCGCTACGCAATTGTGTTCCATTACTGAAAACCTTAAAATCTACGAACATAACCCAAGACTCTAAATTTAATCCTAAAAAAGCATCTAATATTATTATCCAACTAAAAACTTCAAATTAACATAGTAAATCCCTAATTAGGTGCGATACCTTCTAAACAATATTAATATTACGTGCCTGATAAGTAAACTTCGAAAATTGCTAAATACGAATTCGAGTAATGCACTTAAGTATTTAATAAACTGCGATTGGGTATTTATCCGTCTACTAAGTACCTACTATTAAAACAATTACAACTAACGAATTAAAACATTGTGGTGACCGAATTTAAATCAAAGTTTTCGCGCTGAAATTAATTAACAGCGGCGCGAAATCACATTTGAATAATTTGAATTTGAAAAAAAAAAAATTCAATCACGAAAAGGGAATCGTTAAACATAGGCAGCCAAATAGACATGTCGGGTTAATGCATGATCTTTGAGTTAGATGGCAGCACGTAAGGCTAGGGAGATTGCAGTTAGAGGGTTGGTAGAGAAGCTGCATGGCGTAGATTATTATGAATGTGTTGGTGTGAGTGTAACTACGTGGTAAACGCTAGGTTTAAATTAGTTGGTTTGGTAGTTAATAAAACGGGAGGAAGCCTTTGTTTAACGACAATCAATCGTAATTTTCATAGTGATACAGTTGTCCCCAACCCGCGCGGTTAATTCTTGTGGCATTTTAATCGGAGAAATGCGGACTTCCGGTCCACCCGAAACACGTGTTGTAAATTTGTTTCATTGTTTGTAAATTCACCAATCAAGTTAGTTTTTCTTAATAGTCAGCTAGTGCAAACACAATTTAACAATCAGGATTATTTAAATAAACCATTTGCTAGAAGATTTCATGAAATTCACTTAGTCAGGAAAAACACCTTATGTGTAATTACGAATAGGTCTCTGGATGCATATACGTAAGTGTTACATTATAACACTTCTAAATTCTTCATACAAGATTGCTAATAGTTCATTTACGGCAGTTAAACAAGTTCATTATACTGCGAACTGGCTCGAGGGGTTTAAAATGTTTTCTTCCCTTATGCGCTTATCATCGTTATCATGATTGATTCATCGGAGCATGCCATCACAACGCTACAGATTGATTAATTCATCAAGGCACGTCATCACAACGGCACAGATTGATTAATTCATCAAGGCATGCCACCACAACGCTTCAGATTGATTAATTTATCAAGGCATGCCTCACGACGCTACAGATTGATTACATCACCGAGACGCTTTTTCCTCGCAACGATTTTGAAATTTACATCACCGAGACGTTTTTTCCTCGCAACGATTTTAAAATTTGCATCCCCGAGACGCTTTTTGCCTCGGAGCGATGATTGGATATTTTTCTGTTTGTTTATTATGTGTTTTGTTGGGGTAACCAGTTCGCGGTATTTTAAACTTTCAAAGTAAATTGTTTTTTTGAAGTAACCAATCACTTAGATCATGATATAATTTGACATATTGTAAACTCTTTGTTTGAACCGTTGATAAAGTGTGGCAAGTATTAATCTCATGTAAATTTTGTTAACTCTGCAAATTTTCACCTCATACAATATTTCTTAATCTCACAATTTTAACCTCAGTAATTTTGTTTGTTGTATAATTTTAATTGAACGTAAATTTCATGTCCTACAGTTTTAACCTCACATAATATTTCTATTTGTACAAGTTTATTTCACACCAGATCTTCTGTTTCATAAATCCTTGCTAAGTTTTGTTTTGTAAATACTTTGTTGATGAATGTTTCTATCATATCATTTGATGTCCAATTTGAATCTCACATAAGAATTATTTGTTGTTTAAAATTTCACAAGGTTGTATGGCGAATCTGAATGTTGTTTATTGCTCTTTGAAACTTTAACACTTGTTCAATTATTGTTAATATCAGAGTTATAAGAGATTGAATATTTAAAAATGGAATTGAGGTTAAATGACACAGAAGACGTGGCAGAAGCGAAGTTCGGTTCCTAGTCGAGCTGACGAGATTAATCGTGCCACCTGTACAAGTCCACAGGTTTGGATAGATTCAAGGGCGGCCGCCGTTGTTGTAAATTTCTCGGCTTCTGCACATAGCCGAGATCTCTTGCGGGTCGGACGACCGTCATGGCCTAGTTCTGCAGGGCACGGTAGTAATGGAGATATGCGTGTGGGGTAGGCTTTGCGATAGATAGAATCACCGTCGTGGGGGGAGAACAGCTCCAGACCGGTAGCCCAGACTCCGCTTATGCTACAACGCCCCAGGGGTATTTTTGTTGTGCTCCTGTTAACTGCTGTAACAAAAAAAAGGATCTTACGCCTCACGCCTGTAATAACTTGTGTATTTCTATCCAGCTATTTGATTCAGTTTTGATTTGTTTTATTAAATTTGTGATATTCAAATATTTGCATTGATCCCAAACAGATGTATAGAATTTTCCGTTTGTTCGTTTTTCATACGTGTATGTCTGTCAATTCGCGAGTGTTTTCTTTCATATATCTTAACGTGTTTGAAATGTAATATTTCGGTGAATAAAACCCCAGGGGGTTTTGGGGAATGAAGACCGATGACACCTTGACACTGCGGAGTCGCCAGAAGGGCAAGTTGAGTCCCTGTCGTTCTTCGTTTCTTTTTCCTCCTTAGGAAGGCTTTCGTCCTACCTAATTTTGTCTATTATTTCTTGCGCTCTCGACAGTGTATGCACTTGTATGAAAGAACGTCTTCCCGCCAATTTTTCAAAAACAAAAAAAAAACACAACGTAGGTTCTCATTTGTTAGACGATCACAGCCAAGCCCAAACTTTGAATTTTTAAATTTTTCGCGGGCCTTTCAAACTTTTTTAAGGTCAATTGAAAGGCGGGAAGTTTGGGTTATCACAACATATACTTAAATCTACGCTAACTTGTGAAATTAAACATGCAAAGAGAGAGATAAGTAAATATTACTTTATTTAATTAGCTAAATACGCCGAGTGCGAACACTTGTTCACGAGAAAATCAGCGGTTACGGGACAGTCAAATAGACGCAAAAATGAATGGTCACAGTCTTTAAGTACAGCTAAACGTTGAGAAATTAGTACCATTAATGCGCTAAAGTACAGTGAAATTATTAAATTAAAATGAAATGCGAGGTTTCCCAAAAGTATGGCAAAATAATCAGAAAACGGGATCATACTGAACGGCAATAAATTCACAGTTTAACGGAGGTTCTCACCCTCGCCCTATTGGCCGGCAAGTACACCACCTGCCGTCTCCACCAACCGGCCTTCCCCAGCCTCCCCCACTGCCCGACCGCATCGCCGCCAAGATGTTGCACATCTAACGCCAGCGCATAGCGCACTTTTTCTGTTTCAGATCTCCACCGGGCACAGAAACCGCGAGGGAAAGCCGATGTTGGGGGCCAACTCCTAGGCAATCAATAGCTCAACCGAGCTCGGTAGCGCAGCTCCCACTGTGTCTACCGAGATGCTCGTCATGGGTGTAAGGGACAATGTCCAGGTACCCGAGCAGAAGAAGGAGGGGTTTTAGGGCGGTAACTATTCCCCCAGTACCACCGTAGGCCGCAGAAGAGGCCAAGAACCATTACGGTGGTCTGCGTAGACATTTCCCCTCCACCAAAAAAAAAAATTTCAGGCAGATGGAAGTCCACCATCTCCACCTTAAGGGCTACACTGCTACCTGAGTTTTCGAGCTCAAAAAGTCCGAATTGCGCACATTTCACTGTAGGTAGATGTTCCGAGTTGCGCTCGCTACCTGGAAATATTATCACACCTACCCCATTTTATCCTCCATGAAGTAGGTAAAATTTTGTTGGAGCTTTCTTTCATAATTTCTGAGTATGGTGTTTTTCTTCTTTAAAGAAAACCAAATTTTTACATAGACAGATTTCTTTAATATTTCGAAAAAGTAACACTATTAGGATGACAAGAACCAAATGAGTTATTATATTTCGCGTGGAACGATTTGCAAGCATTTGTTGTTGCTCCTCAAAATTTTTCACTGTGGGCCCACATGATACCAGGAAATAACAGTCCATTAGCATCTGTGTAGATTATATATAAATAGGTGCATGAATTTACAATCTGATTGAGGAAAATTTGATTCTATAAAACACAGCAGGTTAACACAATTTATCTACTAATTGAACTGAATATACTATTTTATATGTGGGAACGGCGTACGGTACGACTTGCGACTTTTTACTGGAGAACATGACTTCAATCCCGCTTCTGCTGGAAATTCGCCCTTATATAGCTTCGTCTTGGAGAGGAGTAGACCCGTGCTTCCTGTGTGGTACTGTATGCCCTTACATGGTAATGAGATGCGAAGATGCGTAGACCAATCGGTAGTTCCGCGTCCTTATATGGTAAAAATATGGGAAGCTGATGAAATTCCAGTTGTGAGGATGAAGTGGGGATCAGTCTAGCGACGGCTAAGATGAGTGTGCATACACTGCTGGGTTAATGACGTAGTAAGTCTGAAGGTTATTGCGGGATATAGGTCGTCGCTCCCTGGATACAAGTGGGGGTTGAACACTTGTTATTACGTTTGATAACGGAGCAATTGAAAGGGGCTAAAGTATTTTCGAAATTAGACGCAAATCAAGCATTTTATCAAATACCTCTGGATTAGGAGAGTAGCAATTTGTGCACAGTGGGAACACCTTTTGGGCGGTACAAATTTTTGCGTTTACCTTACGGGGTAAAGTGTACGCCGGAAGTATTTAATGAATATTTCCTAAATAATTTTAATATTCCTAATGTAGCGGTGTATATTGATAATATTTTAATATGGGGAAAGTCGAAAACAAATCATAACAATACTTTAAGGGCGGTGTTGAAAATTGCCCGTGAAAATAATGTGAAATTCAATGACACAAAATGCAAGTTTGGGGTAAACGAACTTAAATTTATGGAACATACATAATAAGCGGTGAGGGTGTAGCTCTAGACCCTGACAGGATGCAGGCAATAAAAACTTTTCCTCAACCAGCATACAAACCATTGATATAATAAAGGAGTGGATGGAGCCTTGTATACGTTTCCATACGCAGGCGAGTGTAATCAACATAAGAGAGAAATAGCTAGACCGGTTATGCGTCAGTGGGGAAAGGACGGCTGACTGGGTGTCACGTGCTGAGTGGCAAGAAACGCTTCATTTGCACGGGAATTAATACGTTTTCTTCCGAATTTGTTCAAACAAATTATTATAACAAACGTTTATTAATGAAAACTATATTTTCACAGCTTACATTATAATTATATATAATCTAAAATAACAGAAATCGTGTTAAGCGATGGAAATCCTCTTTTAATAAAATGAAATGTGTGCAGAATCTACAATACATTACGAATTCAGTTAATACAACAATCTTCTACAAGTTACCGAAATCTAATAGTGTACAATAATTGTTTTTTCAAGCTAACATTTGGAAATCTGAATTTTTAGGATAAAAGTAATTAAACTTTCGGAAAAACTAACAGTTTGACTAATTTAATTAGACATATTAAATTGTGTGAATTCTCTACCAAGATCAATTTTTTAAATTCACGTACAATTAACTAACACAATAACCAAAAATGAGTTAAAAAATAATAATATTGATTAATGAGTAAAGTAAGTGTGTTTAGGTACCTTGTTGGAAATGAACGCCTTCGCTTAAGTATTCTTCTGTTTTTTTTATTTTTGCATAAATGTTCAGGAAAATTAAAGACGCTGGGAATAACATCTTTCTTCAATTGTCTTTTACCAAAATGGATTATGAAATCTGATTCTAGAAAATGTTTTCCACAAATACTAGTATTTTCAGTAGGTATAAAATCCTCCCTTTTTGTAGCTATAATCCATTTTTTTCGTAATTCGGGATGTTTAGGGAATCTAACAAAATTTTTATATTATGCGAAATCCTTCGTTTGTATACAACATGTAATTACTACCTGTGAAATGAAATAAAATTGCTTCCGTTTGCACGTTCCGTGCAGTTATATGCACAACACGATTTCACCATATTTAACAAATAGTTCGATAAAATGCAACCTAAGAACACTACTAATTTGAATAATTGTAACTTGAGTCCACTAAACGTAATTTTGCAAACAAAACACCTTCACACACCATGCGAGAACACGAAAGAAACCTCCCAGAAACACATTGCCGGGCAGTTTCGCGCCAATGTGTTGCCACCCAAAGAAACCCATCTCTGTCCGACTGTGTTGACAACGCGCATCTCTCTCTAAGTTACTTCCATATAATATTATTTCTATGATACAAACAGAGTCTACAAAGGTTCTTGGGAGTCGTAAATTATGTTTCAAAGTACATTCCCAATTTTTCAGATGAAACGAAACCGCTCTGTAACTTATTGAAAAAAGATGTTGTTTTCACAGTAATGCAGTCGAAAAAATTAAACACAATTTAAGTAATACCCCAGTACTTAATTTTTTTAACTCTGATAAAGAAATACTTGTGTCAGTTGATGCTAGCCAAAATGGTGTCGGAGCTTGTTTAATGCAAGATAATCGGCCCGTACATTATGCGTCAAAAGCTTTAACACAAAGTCAAAGTAACCAGGCTCAGATTACAAAAGAGGTAATGGCGATATGGTCCGGGCTTGCCAAATTTCATGAGTATGTTTTTGGTAGACATATCACTGTCGAAACAGACCACAAACCACTTTTAGCTTTGATTAAAAAACCACTCAATTGAGCTCCAGCTCGTCTGCAACGATTATTGTTAGCATTACAACGGTACCATTTCACTTTAAAATACAAACGTGGTACAAATCTTATAAAAGCCGATGTTTTGTCTAGGGCTTGCAGACCTCATACTGCTAGCAATGATCTAGAACTAACAGATCAGATGTGTTGTCTCAGAGGCCAATGTTTCAGACGAGTGGATTGATAAAATAAAAGCGGAAACGGCTAAGGATACAGAATTACAGGCGCTGTCTAAAGTGGTTTTAAACGGTTGGCCAAACAGTAGTAAAAGTTTAAATAATCTAATTAGGTCACATATTAAATTTAAAAGTGATCTCGTAATTGAAGATGGAATAATTTATAGAAATAATAGTGTCACGACTGACAAAGCCCAGTTCGTGAGTTTACGTTATTTTCTATTAATGATTCAAATACAATAAAACTACTTACTGTTTTGCTGGGAGAAACATGTCACAGGTTCTTTTTTTTTTTCTTGCCACAACCCAACTACCGTCCACCCGCTCTCGTCAACCCCACGAAGCCCTTGCAGTGTCAGCAACTATCCCTACTGTCGGTATGTGTCGACACTCCATGGCCTCGATGGAATCATATCGCGAACAGGGTGTTCGGCAATCCCATCGTAACTAGGTTACATATTTATGTGACTGTGACAATAGCTATGTAATCCCCAAATCATTGCGAAAACAGATACTACATAAAATCCATTATAGCCATTTAGGGTACAGCAAGTGCAAAACTGGCACAGAAATCAGTATTTTGGCCCACTATAAAAAATCAGATAAAACAGTTAATCGATGAAAGTCCAGTTTGTCAGAAATATACGGGTTCACAACCACCAGAACCATTAAAACCTCATGAAATTTTAGCCATACCATGGGCAAAAGTAGGTTGTGACTTGTTTGAACTGAATGGTCATTATTACCTCATTGTTCATTATTACTCTAAATATGTAGAGGTTGAAAAACTTTATAGGAACATGAAAAGCATACAAGTAATTAACAATCCGAAAACCATGTTTGCGAGGTTTGGAGTTCCACATATTGTAGTAAGTGACGGAGGCAGACAATTTACCTCGTACGAATTTAAAAACTTTGCAAAAACTTGGAATTTCCAACACAAAATAACCTCACCAACCCATAGCCAGTCAAACGGAATGGCGGAGCGGCATGTTCAAACCATTAAATAGACGATTAAAAATGCCATAGAAAACAGTAAAGACATACACTTGACGTTACTACAGCTACGAAACACTCCAATGGTCGGGGGCAGCACTCCGAGCGAAATTTTAATGTCCACAGCTTCTAGAAATCCCTTATTACCTTTAAAATTGCAGCACTTGAAACCACACTTTAGTTAATAAAAATCATTTTTGTAAGTCCTTAGAAGTTACTCAAACCAAACAAAAACAATACTATAACATAGGTATAAACGAGGCACAAAGGAATTGTCAGTGTTGCACCCAAATACAAACGTTTTGATACAGCTTCAACCAAATTCAATCTGACAGCCAAGCAAATTGTTACAACAGGTAGGAGGCCGCAGATATAAGATTGCTGTAGGTAACAAAGGTGTGTATAGTAGGAATCGTAAATACCTGATGCCATCCTTGTTGAAAACCAGAGAATCTATT